ACGATGGGCTGGCAAGGACGGTGCCAGCACAGGGAGGCCGGTGACAGGGCTGTTCTGGTCCAGAGCGTGCTGTTGCTTCCAGGATTTCCTTTTCTCCAGCTTGCTAGCAGGTGGACCTGTTCCGGCCCCAGAGTATGATAGGCAAGACTGCAACTGGTCTGGTATGGAAACCAACAGGAGGGCATTCTCCCGACTTCGTGATGCCTTCAGGGATCATACAGTCAAGAAAATGAAAAAGTATTCTCTGTTAAAAAAAAAAATCTTTCTATTGTAACATTCCATATTCCCCTCCCAGGTCCCCACCCCTTCTTCCTGCATAGAATACCTCACTCCCTGTGACAAGTTATTGTCAGGAGACACAGGGAAACAAAACTGACCATGTGAACTTCTGGAAGAATTCTGTCCTCAGAGGGCCCAGTTGGTGCTCTCTGGGGCCTCTTGGCATCTTGGCTGGTACCTCCACCAACCACGGGTCCAGTCCACGGACAGTTGACCAGATCGATGGAGGCTCTCCCTCCATCCTGACACCAAGGTTGTGGCTCTGCTCCTCTCTCAGGCTCAGCATCAATAGATGAGATGCAAAGTTTCTTAAGTTCTACAATCAACTAGGGGAAGTGCAGCCATCTCCAGTGGGATTAATTAGTTATCTGTTACTGCCTAACACATTACTCTAGAATTCAGCATTTTGAAAACAACAAACATTTATTATCTCTTTGTATCGGTGGGTCAGGAATGTGGGAGCAGCTTTGCTGGCTGGCTCTGGCCCAGGCTCTCTCATGAGGTTGCGGTAAGCTGTGGGCCAGGGCTGCAGTCATCTGGGCTGGGACAGTCCTCACCAGGGGGACCCCTCCACAGGCTGCCTGAGTGTCCACAAGTCAAGGCCGCCAAAGTGAGTGAGGAGAGAGAGAGAGAGAAAGTACATCCACGATGGAAGCCACTGTCTTTTTATAGCCTAATCTCAAAAGCCAAGCACCATCACCTCTGTAGCAATCTATTTGTTAGGGCAAGTCTCTAAGGCCAGCCCGTGCTGAAGGGGAGGGAGGGAGTTCACCTCTTGAAAAGAGGTGATTAATGAAGAATTTGTGGATGTATTTTTTAAAACCACCACAAGGACCCCATTTAATCTCCAAGAGGTGATATGACACAGTGGTTAAGAGCGTATATTTGAGACTCAAAAAGACCTAGGTTTAATCCTGGCTCCCCCCACATTTGCTACTTATGCAGGTTTAGACAAGTCACTTAACCTTGCCAGAACTCAGTTTCCTAAAAAATAGGGGTAAGAATTGTAGATGTTTTTCATTGGGTTGCTGTGAAAATTATGATCATACGTGTAAAGTGCTTGGCGCGGAGTAAGTACTGAATAAATACTACTTAGTTGCTATTGGAGCTGGATAATGTCATTGTCCTTCACAAGAGGCAGAGAAGCGTAGAGGAGGAACACAGGGGGAGTCAGACTGCCTGGGTGGGGACTCTGGCTCTGCCAGCCTTTATCTGTGGGCAAGTCACTTAATGTCTATTGGCCTTAGTTTTCTGTAAAATGAAGATAATAATAACTAGTGCCTGACCACCTAATAGGTGCTCAAGAAATATTTTATGAATAAGGAAATGGTGGCTGATAGAGGGACATTATCCCTCTATCAAAGGAGTGCTCGTGTGTGTGTGTGTGTGTGTGTGTGTGTGTGTGTGTGTGTGTGAGTTGGGATGCTACACAAAATACGTTTGACTGCAAACACCTTCTGTTAACTGGGGAGCCCACTATGGCTGTCCTGATTCTACTTGAGGGTGCCCTGTACCCCTGAGTGTGCCTCTCTCCAAGGCCTCCAGCTTTACCCTCCCGTATATGTTTCTCTTGGGCTCATTGTTCAGCTTCTTTGCCACCCTGGCTTTGTTCAAGCTTACTTCCTTCATCATCCCTGCTGTCTCCACCAAGAATATGTTTAATTGGCTTTGCACGAGTCTGAGGATTTGGTAACAGGATTGGGGTGGGAGTGGAAGTCCCATGTCGCACCACCTCAGAGCTACTACATTACCTTAAATTGATTTTGCAAATGAAAGCTGAAAGCTAAAAATCTAAGCAAAGGAGACCCATCCATTTTGCCTAAAGATGATTATAATGCTCTTTTACGGCCTCCTAAATGACAAAGCAATTTGTTACCTGCCTGCGTCAACATTTGCTTATATTAGCACCCAAGATGCTTGATTTTTATTAGCCCCACGTTATCATTTTATGAAGATGCAGGGGCTCAGTAAAATTAGTGTGCAAATAGAATGCCCATTTTGCATTTCCCTGTGGTCAGCAGAAAGGCTGAATGCAATTGAGTTGATACCAGGTCAGGGGACACATCCATAAAGATAGCCTTCACTGAGACCTTGGTAATGTCATTTTTCATTTCTACGCTGCTGGGATAGATGGGGTCAGTGTTAGTGTGTTTTAAAAGGGCTTGGTGACATTTTGTTTTTTGTATTTTAAGTGAAAAAGCAATATAAATACTAAGACATAGCTCAACTCCCACCAGCAATAAGGGATGAAACCAAACTCCCTTGTGTACATTGTAGATGGAAATGCAGTAGATGTAGAATCTGATACTGCTGTTAGTGGATCCGGGAGGAGACAGGCAGGGTAGTGAATGGGGCACTGGGCTGGGACTCCACCACTGCTACTGCATGACCTTGGACATGTCCCCTCCTTCTGTGAGCCTCAGTTCCCTCACCTGTAAGATGGAGTGATACTATCCACCTCACAGAGGCATGATGAAGATTAAATAAGATAGTGTGTGTCTAAATTTCTTTATAAACCAGGATCTGTATGAGTATGTTTTACTTATTAATTGAATAGCCAGTTCCTGAGCACCTTTCCACACAGAGTCCCGGGAAAATCATTAAACATACACCATGAAAGTCACAGTTTCTCCCTTGAGGAGCTTGTGTTCAGTCCAGGAGATGTTCAGGTATCTAACTTCTCTTTTAAACCATAAACTTCTTAAGAGCAGGTGAGCCTTCTCTCTCTCCCTTTGCTCCTAAACGCGCTTAGCATAGAGCCGAGAACAGAGTGAGTTCTCAAGTATGCATTTTGGCTTCATTATATGTTTTGCTGTCTTATAGGGACCTAATATTAGGGAAGCAGTGAGCTCAAAACTGGTCACCCAATAGACCAGGCAAGTCCTAAGCTTTCAGATCCAGGTATAATAGGGTTAAATTTTTTTTTTTTAATTTTAGTCTCTGACTTGGTGCATCAACTATTGGGATCATGAATCACATTCAAATGACCTGTCCTAGCATTTCAGAAGCAGAAAGCCAGTTAATGATCTCTGCCTCCCCTCTCCATCCAGATTGTCCACTAATGTAGATGGGATCCTTTAATCGAGCTCTTCTTAGTGCTCATGTCTGAATTTCCTTCAGGTCATTGTTCTGTTCTGTGTCAATCAGTACTTCTTCTGCCCATGGCTAAGCACCCTCTTCCTGCCCCTACTTTCTAGGAATGTCACTCTTGGCTACTGCTTTTTTCTAATAATATATTTGCAAGATGCTAAGCTTTATTATACAAATGAGACTTCCGTAGAGGCAGCAAAAGCATGGGCTTTGACTTTGGCCCATAATTTTCTACTTCTTTGTATGTCTAATAACTTTTACTGGATGATGAATATGGTGAATTATACATTGTTGAATATCTGGATTTTGTTGTCTTCCTTTAAAGAGAGTTGGACTTTATATAGCAGGCGGTCAGTTTTGTTGTTGTTGTTGTCCAGCTTGATCCTTTTGAGATTTATTTTAAATTTTTGTTAGAGTGAGTCTAGGGTGGTTTAGCCCCACCACTAAGGCATGGCCCGTCTAGATTCTCTACCAAATGACCTGAATGATCAATGCAGACTTCCACTTTGGAGGTGGGAGTTCAAATGATTCCTAGCCCTGTGTGAGCCCTGAGAATGTGCAGTTCACAGCTCCCTGGTTGTTTTTTCATAACATCATGGAGATTCACCCTGTATATGCACATCTTGGGACCCAGGAAAGACTCATGAGGAGCCCTTTATGGATTCCTGGAACTCTTTTTTCTACAGAGCTCCCTCTTCTCTGAAATATACAGAGTTTCCCCACAACCACCACCTGGTTCAGACTCCCTGAACTTCAATCTCAGTGAGATTTCCATGCTCTGTTGAGGATACCTCTCTTCTGCTCTTTGGTCTGGGGTGGGCCTCCAGGCAAAAAACCAGGGCGGTCATGGGGCATGCCTCATTAGTTTTCCTTTTCTCATGAGTTAGTCTTGCACTGACTCTTGTTCAATGTCTGAAAAGAGTCGTTTTGTATATTTTGTCCAATCTTCTAGTTGCTTAAGGTGAAAGAGAAATCTGGTCCCTCTTACTTCATCAAGGCCACACAGGGCTTGGATTCTAATCTCAGCTCTACCCTATGTAGCTCTGTAGGTAGAACTTGAACAGGTTATATAACCTCTCTGAGCCCCAGTTTCTGCCTCAGTAAAAGAAGTATTAACTGTCATGTTTCTGTAAGGACTATAAATAATGTGTATAATGTGCCCGACACAAAAGGTGCTATTTAAATGGCAGCTGCTACTATTACTAATATAAATAGCTACCTTTTTTACTCCATCATTTACTAAATTTTTACTGTGTACTAGGCAATATGTAAGCTTGTTAAATTATGACAGTAACCCTATGAAGAAACTATCCACATTTATAGATTAACACACTGAAACTCAAAAAGGACACATAACTTGCCTAGTTTCATGGTCAGTGGATCTGGGATTTGACGTTGCTCTTATGACTTCTTCAGATGATTGTAATATTAATATGATCAGTTGCACAGAAGAACAGAAATGTAGTTATTTAATATTGGGTGACCAGGGACATAATACAATTAGTGGTTTTAACCCAATGATTTAAGAGATAAATGTAAAGCACCCTTTCCCTGCCCCTCCCACTCACATACATAACAACTCCCCATCTCAGCTGTCCTCCTTAGTAACCTACTTCCATTTTATCTTACAGACAACCTTTGGGAGGGAGCAGAGCAAAAGGTGGTATTCATCACAGGACGAATCCACCCAGGGGAAACACCCTCTTCATTTGTGTGTCAAGGTAAGTTGCAAGATCTCATGGGCATCCTGCGTCTCCCCCGCACATCCATCTGGGCCGCTGTGATGGCCTCTGGGACAGTATGGTCACATGCGGAGTCCTTATCTTGGATGAGAATTTACTTCACTTCTCAAGAGGCTACACCTGATCTCCATTAGTATTTGTTTCACTAAATGTTCATCGACTACACGTATGCATGGAAGAATGGATGAATGAATGGATGGATGGGTGGATAGATAGATGAATAGGTAGGGTTCTCCTGTATGTGCTAGATTGAGGATGAGAGTCATAGAGTCATCTACACTTCCTAGCTTTGTTTTATACGTCTCCAGTGGTTTACAAAAAAATAAATCTGGCCTTCTCCCACCCACCATCACCACCACCACCAACAACAAAAATTCTGGCCCCAGGTCAATTCATATATTGGCAGAAGTGTGGTGGGCTGGGGAAGTAAGAATTGAAAATTATCTATTCGTTCAGTCAATAATTCACTTAACAAACAGCTTTTGAAATACTGTACCAACGATGAGAAGGAATTCATGCTTCATATCAGACAACCAGAGGTAATTTCTCTTCTCAAATGTATCTGTTTGTAATTGAATTTTTATTTATTATTAAGTAGTTAATCCATATAAAATATATATTTAGTCAGCAGTACATACACATGTATACACATATATATTCAATTAGTCAGCAATATAAATATATTCAATAGTGTATAAAGAATAATTTAATGAATGCCCTAGTTCCCACCAGCTTAAGAAGCTGAATATTATCTATTCCTTTTAAATCCTCTGTCTTTCCTTCCCCCTCATACAAATAACCATCAGCTTGAATTTTGTATTTGTCCTTCTTAATAGTTTTACTACACATGTAAGCATTCCTGAACAATGTATTTTTTAGTTTTGCATTTTTTGAACTTTATAAAAATGGTATCATTCTGTATGCGTTGGAACTTGTATAGCTGTCATTCACTTGTTTTCATCATGTATTCTATTCCATGTCTGTCTATACCTCAACTTACCTATCCATTCTCCTGAAGATGGACCATTAGGTTGTTTACAGGGTTTTCTCTTACAGACAATGCTGATACAAATGTGTCATATTTGTGTCACACAAATGTGATACATAGGTGTCGCCTTATGGGCCTTGTGCACGTGTGCAGATACTTTTCTAGGGTGTATAACTGTGGAATGCAATTGCTCTGCAAGTGGCTCTGCCACCTCCCAGCAGTTCGGTTTCCTCAAATGTAAAATAAGTTATTATATCAATATGTATCTGTGAAGGCTGTTATGAAACTGGCATGAGATGAATGTAAACAAACACCCAGTCCTGTGCCTGGCATACAGCAGGCCCTCAATAAATGTCACCCCATTCCCCACGGGATCTGAGAAGATGAAGCAGGTAATCTGCTTTGTAAACTATAAGGCACTCTGCAAACACATATGGGTCTTATTTTCCCCGTTCGTATTCTTACAAGGCTGTGGTTAGGCACCACTTCCTCCCTCTTGGTTTCAGACAAGGAGCCTGAGCTTCAGGGAGAGGAAGTGATTGCCCAAAGACAAGCAGCTCATCAGAGGCATGGCTGGTGGGTCTCAGCTCCCCGCTCCAGCCACCGTAGCTGCCTTCTTGGCATTCTCACTTCCAGCCTCCTTCTTTCCCGCACTGTCCTTGCAATAACCTCTCGCAGGGCCCTCCTGCTTGTACCAACTTCTTTACTGGCAGCCATCTGTCAGTTACTAAGCTTGGCAGCAGCCTGTTCCCCAGCTGATCAGATGCAACTCTTTTGTCCTTATTTGTGAAAAGACAGTAGCCTTACCATCAATACTTCATCTCTGGGAGCCCAAACTCCCATGCCCGCCCCCTCTGTGGGCAGCAGACAGAGGGTAGGGTCACTGTCCCATTTTACAGAGGAGGCCTGAGGCACAGAGAAGTCGAGAAGCTCCCAGGTGCTCTCTCTGTTGACCCTGCTTTCCCCAAAAATGAGTCTGGCTGGTGCTGAGTTTATCGATAGACTCAGCGCTGTCTATCACTGAGGCTTTCAGTCAATGTTCACTCCTTGACAGAGGCTTTAATGCCTTCCCACTACCTTCTCAGGATCAACTCCAAGCTCGTTGGCATGACGCTCACAATTCTCCATGGTGTGGCTCTTGCCAGGGGGCCTTGGCCTCATTATATCCCAGCTCCACACAACTTAATCCCTGGACACTCTTCTGCCCACCACTGGGCCTTTGCATCTGCTGCCCCTCTGCCTAGGAGGTCTTGTGCCCACTCCCTTCAGCCTCCTGCTTTGTGCCTGCCTTGTGGGTTACCCAATGGTCATCTTTTTGGCACTGATTTGTTATGCATTTGATTTATATTTGTTGCTCTCCTTTTAAACCTAGCTGTTTGAGACCCAGGGCTGGATCTTAGAGTGTCATTTTCCACATCTGTAAAATGCGCATTGTCTTGTTCATTTCATGGGGCTGTTGTGAGGAACAAACACTGTCTTGGCTCTCGGATGCGAAATCTGGGTCCAGAAAGAGGAACTTCCAGTTCACATAACCAGTAAAGAGAGGAGGGGGCTTTGCAGCTGGGTCTCCCAAGCCTGTGCACGCTCTTTTGCTGGAGGAGTGAGGGGGCCTAGAAGCACTAGAGGGCCAAGCTTCCTGCCTGGAAGAGCACAGTGTTCTGGCCACCCCACAAGAACCGGTACATTTGACATGTGAGACTGGGAGGCTCAGGGGAGAGAGGTGGCTGACCCCGGATCACACAGCTAATTCATGGCGGATGTGACGCCGGGACCCATCTCCCCAGTCCTGGTCTTCCTCTGTCCCTATCTCTGTAACTGCCACTTAAGACACACAATTCACCCTTCCTGAGGCAGCTCAAGACAGGCAGGATTCCCCCACTTTGCCAATGAGGAACTAAGGCATGGTCTTCCCCAAGGGCCTCCCAGCCCCCTGGGGACAGCCCAGACCACAGCCCCATGGGGCTCAGCAGGGGCTTTCTTCCCCAGACCCAGCCCTCATCTGGATTCCCCTCCCCAGCGCACCTTGTTCTGGGGAGGGCAGGAGGGTGGGTCTAAGGCCTGGAAGATTGATTGCCGAGGTACCTTTGGTTCTGTTAACTCTGTTTCCCCATTAACTGGCTCAGTGACCTTGAGTGGAGGACAAACGTTTGGGGCCTGGTCATCCCCATCTAGCTGGGACCTCGGTTCTCATGGCCGAGCTGCTGATGCACCTGCTGCTGAGAGTAGAGTGAAGTCCTGTCGTGGCAGGGCTCTGGGGGGCGGGGCAGCCCGGGGGGGGGGGGGGGCTGTGACTTCCTCAAGGCTCTGCATGTTGGGGAGACGGCTGCTTGTCAGTCACCCTCTACTGTCCCCGACCCCGCTCCTGACCTCTGTGAGGCCAGACTGTCCTTGTTCTCCAGCTACGGTGTGGGAGGTCAAGGTCACTCCCACGTGGCTCTGTAGCAGAGTGTGTGTGAGCTGTTGTCTCTGGAGCTACACCACCTGGATTTGAAGCCCAGCTCCCCCACTTGGTACAGAATGACCTTGGGGATGTCCTATAACCTCTCCTTGCCTCAGTCCCTTTATCTCAAAAGGGGAATAATAACAGGGATCCTGCCTCATAGGGTTGTTGTGGAGATTAAATGAGTTAATAACCATAAGATATTTAAGATGGTACTTGGAATGCAGTAAGCACTGGAGAAGTCTTATTCGTAGGGGAGGAAGTGGCATTCATGGAGCATCTTGAAGGTGCCCAGGATGCTTCCTCTTATCCTTACTGGGAACCCAAACCCAGGCATGTGACTCCTGTACCACGTGTACTGCCTTCCTCGCCTCCTTTCCAAAAGAGCCGCTAGCTGAACCCTCCTCGTTTACCCACGTGGGAGACCACGGAGCACGTCAGAAGTTTGGCCGGGACTGCACGTCAGATCTCCGACCTCCGGTTGAGTGAATGTTCTTGCGCTGAAGCTTTCTGGAGTTGTTGGGACATGACTCACTGAAAAGTCCCACCTGCAGAGCGCTTGCCCCCTTCAGACCATTCATAAATGAATTGGTTAAGCCCACGCGTATGCAACACGACCGTGGAAGGTGTGCCACCCGCAGGAGACAGCAGGGGCGTGTGTATCACTGAGGCTTTAGACTTGAGCAGCCCTGAGTCAGAATCCTAACACTTCACCTCCGCGCTGGGGACCCTCACTCGGCAAGTTCTCAACTCTCACAGCCTGTTTCTCTGCCTATAAAATGCGGCAGCAATGTGGTCCTCCAGGAGCTGCTGTGAGGATTCAGGGAGCCCTGCTCAACGTGCCAAGGGGCCCACCAGGCCCTCCCTCTGGGAGCTCACTCTTCCGGGGTGTCCTGTGAGGGCAGGGAGAGGAGCAGGGGAATACATACACACACACACTCACAACCACCAGGACACCAGGACCCAGCACAACCTAGCATTTCCCACAGTGAGGCGGTGACCGATGCCCCTTTCTCCCTCCCCTCCCCAACTCTGTTTTCCTCTCTCCCTCACCTGTTCTCCATCTTCCCCTTCCCCCTCTCTCCCATACAGCCTCACAGATGTCTGAAACTAGATCCCTGAGGGGTTGTCACGGGGCCTTTTGCTTCCCCAAACTTGTCCTTTCATTTGTGAAATGGGCAGTGTTGGGGATAAGAGGGTAAGAACTTAGACTCTGTGAACTTCAGGTTCTTCAGGGCCAGACTGCCTGTGATTCCATAATTTGGGGCCCTTGGGCTCAGCTGCGGGCAGACAGGGGCCTGGTACACGGTCAGGGCGGGGTCTAGAGTGGCTCCTGCCACGTGACCCACATTCTGAGCCCAGCGGAGACCCCAGCCGACTGTCTTGCTTCAAGCCTGGGCTCTTCCCATTGCACTGTATTCTGCCTATTAGCCAGAAACAGCAACGGCAAACCTTATACAGAACTCTCTAGAGAAAAATCATGTGAGCATATATGCAAATCATCCTGCAAATCACATGCAGATAGACTCCTGGCTCCTTCCGCCTTGGCTT